CTATGGGTCATCAACCTTACCAGGTGAATTTTCCTTCAGTTGGTGACAATAAAATGGATTTAAAAAACAAACTTCAATTTTGGAAATGTCTTTGGAAGGGACAGGTTAACAAATGCCGAGTTTAATCTCTTTTCTGCCTGCCAATGCACTTTTCTAAGCAATTCATACTCTGGACCGAAAAAGGAAAATGCCAGAAATATGTACAATAAAATTTTATTTCCCTCCCAAAGATATAGTAGAGTTAACATTTATTTATATTTATTTATTTAATACTTTGTCATTGTATGTATATATTCATATACACATACAACAAAATTCACATAACACCCAGACACCAGACCCAACATGCACACTCACGACAATCTCCAATCCACCAAAGTACAAATAGAAAAAAAAAAAACTAGTGGTACTCTAAAAAATGGCAAAATATTAGCTAGATCCAGGTTTTTCAATCTTGGCAACTTTTGAGGTGTGTGGACTTCAACTCCCAGAATTCTCCAACCATCAATGGCTGGCTGGGGAATTCTGGGAGATGAACTTCGTATTTCTTAAATTGGCCAAGGTTGAGAAAGGTTAAAGCCAGACTTTAACATTTTGCAAAACGGTGTTCAGTGCGCCAGGTTCAATTAGTTTCACTGGTTGAGTACCAAGGTACCGCTGTATTGTTAAATCAGGCATCTATTCATTATTTATTAATTGGGGGATATGCTAAATAATTACTTTAAAATATTAAACCATGAACGATGATTATAATAATTGTTGGTTTTTTGTTTAAGTAATTGCTACTGTATGAAACAATCCACGGCTTAATGCAAATCTGTCAGGCAATTGTGAACATGTGAAGGTCCAATTATATTGATTTATTGATACTCAAGTCTATGCAAAAGAATCTTCTCAATTAATGATCAACAGGATCCATGGAATTCAAGGGAAGTTGGACTTATTTCGCTTGTGACTACATAGGGATTCTAGGCCGAATCCTCTTTTGACTCCACCCCCTCAGGTTCAGCTACTCCTTCTCCTACAAAACCTTTACATTCTCTGCATGGTATGTAAAACTTAGAATTAAGTGGGAAAGCTTGAAAGGCCACCATGCATCTATGTCAAGAAGGGCAACCAGCTAATCCATACCTTGGCCAGGTGTTTTGCGATTCCTCTGCCCCTGTAGGTATCTGGGACTTCCGTGTGCTGAAGATCCACCACCCTCTTCCCTACGTATTCATACAACAGGACGGCTTTATCATGGCAGCCTGCAAGTGGAAAGAAAAACCATATCACACGAGACACACCTCACATTTGGACTGCAACTCCATCATCCACAGCTAACTGTGTTCACACATTACGGGCACTCCTTGACATACGGCCATTCGTTTAGTGGCATTCCCCTCCGTTCGGTTATAAAAATCTATCCATTCAGGAGAAATTAAAAATAAGTTGGAATCTACTCTTAAGTGCCTCCTATCCTACTCTCCCCCCAAAATATTTCAGAAACTTGACAGGCTAAAATTCCTGAAAAGAGAGCATCTCGCCCCAAGAAGGGATGTTTGGAAACCCACGTCAAGAAAGGCCTGCGTTGACTCAAAAGTTGGTATGAGGGATGGGATGGGATGAAGAGGGGAAGAAGCAGATGTTATGGTGGAGATTGGTCATCTAAAACCAGAGAACCAGAAACTATCCATGATAAGAGACTGTCCAGCATCTTCTTAAAAACCTCCTAGGTCTGTGATGGCGAACCTATGGCACGCATGCCTCACAGCTGATTCTTGGCCAGTTTGAGGCCTTTTTCGGCCTCCCAAAGGCTTGAGGAAGGCTTCTGCAGGCTGAAAACTAGCCCCGTTTTGTCACTTCCTGTTTTTCCGAAAATACCAGAAGTGATTAAAACAGGGCTAGTTTTCGGCCTGCAAAGCCTGCAGAAGCCTGCAGAAGCTTTCCTCAAGCCTCTGGAAGGCCGAAAAAGGCCTCAAACTGGCTGAAAATCAGCTTTGAGGCACAGTGCAGGTAAGAGGGTGATGGGGGATTGCGCACACATGCGTAGGAGGCGTGGGGGCGCGTGCATTGCCTTCTGGGTTGCACGTGCACAATTTTAGGCACAGGAGCCCAAAAAGGTTAGCCACCACTGTCCTAGGTGAAGAACCGTACAGTACAGGTAGTCCTTGACTTACAACCATAATTGAGCTCAAAAATGTCTGTTGCTAAGTGAGACAAACATTCAGCGAATTTTTCTCTGTGTTACAACCTTTCTTTCCACAGTTAAGTGAATCACTGCGATGGGCGTAAGAATGAAGAAGTGGTCATAAGTGTGACTCTTTTCAGTGCTTCTCTCCTTGGTTCATTTCCATCCACTGTTCCTTGTCTTGCTTTTTGGTGCTTTGGAAAATAATTTGAGCCCCTTGTCTTTGTAGGAGCCCCTCAAATATTGGAACACTGCTGTCACGTCTCCCTGAATCATGACTTTTTAACCATGCCATGCAGACATCCCAACTCTGGATAACTTTGGATAACTTTCCTAAACCCCAGCCAATAAATCCAAGCATCTGTTCTTCTCCCCCTACATCTCTGCCACCAAATTGCTCTGATCTTGTCTAAATACAGCTAAAAGACACTATTCGTACTCTCTGGCCATCTCTCTTCCCAACCGAAGAGAATTCAAGACGCCTTTACCAAAATCTTTTTAGCTGAAACAAAACCTTTGGAGAGAAACAAATCCCCAAATGAACTTGATTTATAGCTCCGGCAGATTTCCTTCGCAATCCGTCACTATGGAACTATTTTAACCTTGTGCTATTTAAGGAAGCTTCATTCCTTTGGCTGTCCAGCCTGCAAAATTCATTCGCTCTTTACTTTCACCCATTGTCCAAAGACAGTAGATCATTCTCAGCAATGCCAGGCCCAGAGAAAGGAAAGCAATTCTGTGTATTTCTATTTTTCAGCCATTTTTGCAGCCATGTCTCTCTCTCTTTCTCTCTCCCCTACGGGCCACATTAATTTTTGAGTTTATTGACTTTAATGCAGCCTGCCGTTTGAATAAAACAAGCACACACTTTTAACAAAAGCCACCAACTTTTTAAAAGTCAAGAACAGGGGAAAACAAAGAGAGTTTGAAAGATACTAGCCTCACTCTTTCGCTGCTATATATGACATGTATTATATAACAATACCAGAAACTAGCCTGCAGTTCCTATTAAACCATGATTTAACTACAGAATACTTAATTAAGGCGGGGGGGGACACAAACAGGCTAGGTTGATATATTTTGCTAAACCACCGTTTCCAAATGTGGAAGCTTTTCAAGATGGGTGGACTTCAACTCCCAGAATTCCTCAGCCATCTCTCTCTCTCTCTCTCTCTCTCTCTCTCTCTCTCTCTCTCTCCCTCTCCCTCAACTATAAATCAAGTTCATTGGAGTTTGTTTCTCTCCAAAGGATTTTTTGTTCTTTCAGCTAAAAGCTATGCCGGCTGGGGAATTCTGGGAGTTGAAGTCCACCCATCTGAAAAGTTTCCACTTGCTAACTCATTATGGGAAGGGCTTGGTTTAACTCAGTTCTGCAAATCCCAGCCTTTGCAAGTTATCCATCCTAGCTGGGCTCTCACAACAACCGAGCCAAGGGTAACAACAAGCCATGGTTTAGCAGAAGGGAAGGCTTCAGAGACCTTCGAACCAAGCCAGCATGGCAGGCTTTCCAAGCCTCCCCAAATCAATCAAAGCCAGACCCCACCGCCAGCTGTCAATTCTTCACTGCAGGTTGGGATTGAATGCATCCACTCACCTTTTTCTTTAGAGTCACCAAACCAGGAGACACAATCCAGCCGTGCCTAACCGCCCACCCCTCCCCAAGAAATTCAGGGGGTCTCAAAGCCGAGCAGCACACCAGGATAAGAAGCTTCCAAGGCCGGGTCGAGAGGAGGATATTCAGTTCCGTAGGAGCCCGGGGGCGCCCGGTTGCAAAAGCGACGGCCGCAGAAATCAAAGCTTCCAAGCCTTCTCGGCCCCCCCCCCTCCCCTCTTTCCGCTTAATCTCCGGTTTTTTACTGAGGGGGTGGGGGAAAGAAAGGGAAGGTTGGAAGCTTAAGCGGCCACTCTTGCTCGCCTGGGCAGCCCCCAGCCCGGCTAAGAGAGCCCCCCCCCAATTTCTGGGCTTAATCAAGTACCCCCCCCCACTCGGTTTGCATGCAACTCCCAACTCTCAGCATAGCAGCAACCGGGAAATGGGGGGGGGGGCTCCTTCCCTGCCAGGTGGCGAACAAAAGATGCACCCCCCCCCTCACACACACACACATACCCTGCGCCTGCCTGCAGAGCCAGCCAGGCAGGGGAGGAGGCTCCAGCTTTTATCCAACCCGGCCGGGCCCTTACCGTTCAAGCGGACGGTGAACTGCCTCCGCTTCCGATCGTGCTCCACCTGGATGGGGAAGCCGCCGCCGCCGCCGCTGCCGCCGCCGCCGCCGGGCTCCAGCAGGTTGAGAGGGGCCGCCTGCGCCATGGAGGACCCCCCAAACACACCCTTGCCTTTCCTTCCTTCCCTCCTTCCTTCCTTTCCTTCCTTCCTTCCCTCCCTCCTTCTTTCCTTCCTTCCTTCCCTCCTTTCCTTCCTTCCTTCCCTCCCTCCTTTCCTTCCTTCCCTCCCTCCTTCCCTCCCTCCCTCCTTTCCTTCCTTCCCTCCCTCCTTCCTTCTTTCCTTCCTTCCTTCCTTCCTTCCTTCCGCACCCCCCGCCCGGCCGCTTCGCCTTTGTCCGCGCGTGGTGGGGAAGGACTCGGAGGGGAGCCCGAGGTGGGGGGGGGGAAAGGAGGGAGGGAGACCCCCTCCCCCCAATACGGATCAGTAAATCCAGGTGCGGGGAAGCGATCCGTGCGGGTCTCTCCGGCCAGGAAACTTCGTAATGGGGAAGAGTAGAGAAGGGAGAAGAAGAAGGAGGAGAAGAAAGAAAGAAAGAAAGGAACCTCTCCGGCCGCGGAGCCCTCACTCGGCAGCGGCAACAGCAGCAGCGAACAGATCAAAGGCCAGGGATAAAAGCGCAGGAAATCAGCTGTGGGGTCACGTGGCCGTCGGGCGGCCAATGGGAGGCCCCGCGCTTTTGTTTTGATACATTCCGTTCGACTCTTAAAGGAGACGCGCTGCCCTTCCTGGTTTCTGTTCTTTGGGGCTCGCTTCTCGGAGGGCTTGGGGGGGGGGAGTGTTTCCTCCGAGGTAGGTAGGGAGAATGAGGATTTGGGTTTTTTGTTTTTTTTAGTTTTCTGTTTTTTTTTAAAAAAAAAAATTTTATATGTCAAGTCTCTGTTTGTAGATTTCAGTGGTTTTAAGGCATGGATGATGTTAGCTAGTTTGGTAATAAAACGTCTTGTAAGGAAAGCATCAAGCTCACAGGGCACCAAGGACTCTACATTCCTCCTTCTCCTCCTCTCTGCAAAATCCACTCCCTTCTAGTACTGACGATATTACCTAGTTTGGTCATGAAATGTTTGCAAGAAAACAACCAAGCTCAGAGAGCACCAAGGACCCCACAGTTGTTGTTGTTGTTGTTGTTGTTGTTGTTGTTCTTCTTCTTCTTCTTCTTCTTCTTCTTCTTCTTCTTCTTCTTCTTCTTCTTCTTCTTCTTCTTTTTCTTCTTCTTCTTCTTCTTCTTCTTCTTCTTCTTCTTCTTTTTCTTTTTCTTTTTCTTCTTTTTATTTTTCTTTTTCTTTTTCTTCTTTTTCTCCTCCTCCTCCTCCTTCTCCTTCCTCCTCCTTCCTCTCCTTCCTCCTCCTCCTCTTTTTCTCCTCCTCCTTCCTCCTCCTCCTTCTTCCTTGTCCTTCTTCCTCTCCTCCTTCTCCTCCTCCTCCTCCTTCCTCCTCCTCCTCTTCTTCTCCACAAACACCACTTCCTTTTAGCACTGATGATGTTACCTAGTTTGATAATAAAATGTCTGCAATAAAACCACCAAGTTCAGAGGGCACCAAGGACCTCTGAAAGGAATTCTGGGAACTGAAGTCCAAAGTGCTGACAAGGAATTTTGGGAGCTGAAGACAAACATCTTAAATTTGCCAAGGATGCAAAATGCTGGTCTTGGGTATGGTTTGTCCAAACACTAGGTTCGTCTTTTTAATGTTTTCTGTTTTGAAGGGTAAGCCACCCAGACTTATTCAAACAACTATTAACATGAAATAGTAATAATAACAATAATATAAATAACAACAACAAATACAACAACATTCCTCTAAATCCAATGCCAGGTGATAAGAACAGCGACAAAACTAAGCCCAGCCATTTCATTATGAAGTCTGGCCTCTAAAATGAAGTGATAGTAGTGAAAGTCCTACCTGCTTTAAACTGAGTTGAATTTTTAATGGATTTATTTCATTTAGTATTACATTTATCTGCCGCCCATCTCTTTCCTAACTCCAGGTGATGACAACACAAACACAACTGTCTCATTTTCTGGCCAGCAACCTGGAATCAGTATGCTCCTGTTGTTTGGGAGAAATTTTCTTTTTAGATTTCCCTATGGAAGCTACGATTAACCAGCTCTAATCTTGCTTAGCTTGTTTCAAGATGAGCCAAACTTGGTTAGGTGCTGCTGTCAGAAAGGGGTGGGTGGGGGGGAACCAGCTACTCTAAAATTGAAAACAAAGGGAGGGAAGAACTGGGGCAGGCAACGAACGGAAAGGAAGGAAAACATGGACGTTTGTGGAGATTATTATAGTATCCGCTCCTTGAACAGATTGGGTTTTGAATGCTCTGAGCATTTGTCAGGAAATACGGCCTGCCCTGGTACCATTGTATGAGTTCCTGCCAGAGATTAACTGAAAGAAACACAAAGATTAGAAAATATGACTCATCCCCGCCACCGATGCTAAGAAGCAAATCCCAGAATTAGCAAGGCAAAAAGCTCGGCTGAATTTTTCCCCCCCTCACCTCTTGAATTTGCTTTTTATTGATTCTGGGACTTATACAGCTACCGTAATAATCACAGGGGACAGAGTTGCATGGTCCACCTGGCCACGAATGAGTTTCAAAAGCCAATTTGTCTTCTTGATGACCTGAGCTGGACTTGGGAGAGGAAAGAGAAAAGTGGAGGGAGAGGGAGAGAGAAAGATGGAGAGAGAGAGAGAGAGGTGGGAGAGGGAGAAAGAGAGAGATGGGAAACAGAGATGGGAGAGAGGGAGAGATGGGAGGGAGATGGGAAAGGGTGGGAGAGGGGAGGGAAAGAGAGATGAGAGAGGGAGAGAGATAAATGGGAGAGAGAGATCAGAGAGGGAGAGAGAGAGAGATGGGAGACAGAGGGGAGAGGGAGAAAAAAAATGGGAGAGGGAGGGAGGGAGGGAAAGAGAGAGATTTCCAACTTTTTTCCAGTGTGGGTAAAACATATATTAAAAAATACAACCTCAGCTTTTTGCTTTATACCTCACAACACACACTTCAGGCCTTCTTTGTAATAACAAAAGCTTTCCAATCATCAAAACCGGAAATGAAAGTTTCGCTCTCTTTTTTTTGGTTTTAGTTTCGAGCCATAAGTCCAGAAGCGGTTTCCAACTAGAAGCAAAACTAGCTGAGTTCTTCTCTTGAAATAAAACCGCCTTTTTTCCCCCATCTCCACCAGTTTCATCATCTTTATTGTCCTCTCTTCCATTGTGGGAAACTTCTAGAATGCAGAATAACAAGAGTTGGAAGGGACCTTGGAGGTCTTCTAGCCCAACCCCCCCCTACTCCAGTAAGAAACCCTATACCATTTCAGACCAATCTCTTCTTGGAAAAACTCCAGTCCACAACTTCTGGAGGCAAGTTGTTCCACCGCTTAAAGGAACAATCCTTCTCCCATCGCCCATTCCAGGAAGAAATGAGCATGATGCTCTCCCGCTGTGCGTTCTGTACATACTTCAGGAATTTCATCAGAAAGAATGCCAGGAATGGAAGTGGGTGGAGGGAGATAGTCTGTAGTATCTGCCTGCTGTTTACTTAGGCAATTCATCGCTTCTTCAGGCCACCAGAATCAACAGGCCTGGAAAGCAAAATCTCCATTCCCTCTGCACTCCTGGGGGGGAAGATTACCGCTGGTTCTCCGAACTACTCCAAATTTCCGCTAACTAGTTCTCCAGAACTGGTCAGAACCGGCTGAATCCCCCACCTCCCTCCAGTGTCTCTGCGGTGACTACAAATCAATAAAAAGTCATAAAAAGGAAATCCTTCCCATAAGTAACCGAGATGTGCTTCCAGATCAAATTCAATGGGTGGATTCTGTCATTTATTCAACGGTCAGTAGGGGGCAGAATGGTCCCGTCAGAAAAAAATTGCACAATGATAAAGTCACCTTTGCTAG